AGATCTTTGATGCAGTCTGACTTAGTTTTAGCTTTCAGCATGTGTAGAGCCAGTTTTTCCAGCACCATTTATTAAAGACGCTATCTTTCTTCCAGCAAATGTGTTTGGTACCTTGTCAAAGATAGGTGGCTTAGTGTATCTGTAGTTGTTTCTGCATCTTGTAATCTGTTCCATTGATCTTCGTGTCTTATTTTTTTGTTTGTTTGTTTGGTTTTTTGCCCGTAGCACACTTTTTATCACAGTAGCTTTCAGTATAATTTGAAGTCAGGGATTGTGATGCCTCCTGTCTTGTCTTTGTTGCCCAGGATTGCCTTTGCTATTCTTAGTTTCAAAATACAGCCATTTTTAGTATATACATTCTTTCTACTCAAGAGCACTGGATAGCTCTCCCATTTTTTAATATCCTCTTCAATCTCCTGTTTCAGAGTATTGTGGGTTTCAGTGTAGAGGTCTTTTACCTTCTTTGTTAGATTGATTCCTAGGTATTTCAGTTTTTTGGGATGCTATTATGAAAGGTGTTGTTTCTCTGATGTCTCTCTCAGTGAGTTTGTTCTTCATGTAGAGGAAGGGTATTGATTTTTGAGTACTGCCTTTGTATCCAGCTTCACTACTGAATTTGCTTATTAAATCTAGTAATCTTTTGGTTGCAGTTTGAGGTCTTCTAAGTATATGTCTTCTACAAATGACAGTATTTGAACTTCTTTCTTTCTTTCTTTCTTTTATTCCTTTTGTTTCTCTTGCCTAATTGCCCTGGCTGAAGTTTCCTAGACTGTGTTGAATAAGAGTTGAAACAATGGACACCCTTATTTTGTTCCTTATTTTAGAGGAAAAGCTTTCAGTTTTTGTCCATTAGTATGATGTTTCCTGTTGGTTTTTCATAGATAGCCTTTGTTGGCTTGAGATAAAGACACAGTTTTCTATAGGATTTTTGTTATGAATGAGTGCTGGACTTTATCAAAAGCTTTTTCAGCATCTGTTGAGATGATCATGTGATTTTTGTCCTTTGCTCTATGAATATGGTGTGCTACATTTATGGGTCTATGTATATTGAACCATCCCTTCATTCCTGGAATGAATCCCACTTGATCATGATGTGTATGTTCTTGATGATTTGCTGCATTCTATTTGCCAGTGTCTTACTGAGGATTTTTGCATCAATATTCATTAGGGAAATTATCCTGTAATTATTTTTTTCATTGGGTCCTTCTCTGGTTTTGGTATCAGGTTATATACTTGCTTCCAGGAATGGATTTGGGAATGTTGCTTCCCTTTCAATTTCATTAAAGAGTTTGAGAAGTGTTGGTATTAGTGAATCCATCAGAGACTGGGCTTTTCTTTGTTGATAGGTTTAAATTACACCTTCATTTTCACTGATGGGTACTGGGTTATTTAAGATTTTTATATTTTCTTGATTCAGCTTGGTAATTCATAGTATCTAGGAACATGTCCATTGCCTCTGTACTTTCCATCTCATTAGAATACAAGTTTTCAAAGTAAGTACAGCTGATCTTCTCAAGTTTTGCTGGGACTGTTGTGATTTTACCCTTTTTATTCCTAATTGCATGTATTTGAGTTTTTTGATAAGGTTGGCTGAGGGTTTTTCAGTTTCATTTAATCTTTCAAAGAACCAATTCTTAAATTCATTGATTCTTTGTATTGTTTTTTTAGTCCCCATTTTGTTAGTTTCTGCTCTGATCCTTGTAATATATTCCCTCATATGAGCTTTTGGCTTAGCCTGCTCTTTTTTCTTGAAGTTTTAAGATTCAGCTTTAAGTTATTTATATGTGCTTGTTCTCTTTTCCTGATATGGTTATTTACAGCTATAAATTTTCCTCTTAAGACTACTTTCATTGTGTACCATAAATTCCAGTATGTCGTATTGTCGCGATCATTCAACTGTAAAAACTATGTCATTTCTTCTTAATTTCCTCTGTGACCCATTGGTTGTTCAGTAGGATGCTATTTAATTTCCATGTGTTTATGAAATTCTTGTGGTTTCTTTCTTTTTTTTCTTTTTTTCTTTTTTTTGGGGGGGGGGTAACCAGGGATCAAACTCATGACTGCATGTATGCAAGGCAGGAGTTTATGCCACTGAGCTAAATCCCTGGCCCTCTTGTGGTTTCTTTTGCCATGGATTTCCAGTTTCATTTTACTGGGATCTGATAGTATCCATGGGAAAATTTCAGTTCCTTTGCATTTTCTTAAGCATGTTCTATGAACCAGTATATGGTCTGTTTTGGAGAATGTTCCATGTGCAGCTGAGAAGAATGTGTATTCTGATGTTGTGCGGTGGGACACTCTATAGACATCTACTAAGTCCATTTGTTTAAAAGTTTGGTTTATTTTATTTTATTTTATTTTTTGGTTCATTTCAGTTCTTTTTGTCTGTTTGATTTGTCTTTTTGTGACTAATAGGGTATTGAGGTCTCTGAATACAGTTGTATTAGGGCTACTTATTTGATTTTTCTTGTCCATTAGTACTTGTGTTATATATTTTGGTGCACTGGTATTTGTTGCATATATATTTATTATTATTTTTCTTGGATTATTCCCTTTATGAGGATGTAGTGACCTTCTTTATCTTTTTACTTAGTCTTGGCTTGAAATTCACTTTGTCTGCAAATAGAATAACTACCTCTGCTTTTTTCTGGATTCCTATTGCATGGAGTATTGGTTTATATCTTTTGATATTTTTTTTTGAATTAAATGTGTTTCTTGCAAGCAGCTTGTTGTTGGACCATGATTTTTGATTCATTATGCCAGTCTGTTGTCTTTCAATTGGTGAATTGAAACCATTAACATTAATAGTTGTATCTGATATTTATTGACTTATCCTTGTCATGTTATTTTCCTGTTGTTGGGTTTCCCCCTCCCTTTCCTCTCCCTGCAATTGTTTGCCTTACCTGGTGGATTCCTTCTGCTGGGGTTCATGGAGCTGTAGTCCTTATTATTTCTTTCTAGAATGTCTTCCAGAACATTTTGGAGTGCTCTTTTGGTGATTATGAATTTCCTCAGATTTCTTTGTCATGGAAGAATCTTATTTCTTCATCAGTTTTGAAAGATAGTTTTGCAGGATATATCAATCTGGGTTGAAAGTTGTTTTCCTTTAGAGCTTGGTGTACTTCACACCAAGCTCTCCTTAACTTGAGAGCTGAGAAGTCAACTGTGATTCTAATGTGCTTTCCTTTATAGGTGATTTGTTTCTTTTGCCTAACAGCTTTTAAGATTCTGTTGTTGTGTTGAATTTCTGGAATCTTGACTATAATGTGCCTGGCTGTAGATTTTTTTTTTTTTTTTACCATGGTTAATAGGAGTTCTTTATGCCTCACTTATTTGTATGTGGAATTCTTTTTCTTACCAGGGAAGTGTTCTGCCATGATGTCTATGAACATTTTTTTAATATCATTTGTGGTATGCCATGCTTTTTCATTGACCCCAAACAAACTTATTTTTTGTCTCATGTATGAACTGCTGGATTGATTTCTCACGATTCTTTGCTATTTTTGAAAAATCTTTCGTTTTATGATCACTAACTGCAAGCTTGTCTCAGTATCTGAGATTCTGTCCTTGCATTGGCCTAATAATCTGCTTCAGTGGAATTTTTATTCCCCTGGGTATCTGCTTGAACCTGCTTTGTGGATTCTATTTCTTTCATATGCTGAGCTTCCATAATTTTCTTCAGCGCATCTGTATTTTTGTCCTAGCATCACTAAGTATGGTCTATATCTGAGTGATTATTTCTGATCTCATTTTTTTCATAGCCTCATTCAGTTGCTTTTCTGTTACCATTAGAGGGAGGTCTGGTGGGGGCTTTTGGATTGTCCCACCTCATTGCCCCCCTGGATTTGTCTTTGGGGAACTTGAGGTCCGGGGTTGCATTTTGTTTAAGGGTTTTTTCATTTTTTTCTTTTTTTAATTTTAATTCCTGGGATGATGCTTGTAAATTGCATATGGTAGGGTGCTTTATTGCTAGTATTTAGAATCCCTAGATGATGGCTACTTCTCTGAGATATCTTCCTGGTATAGCTGATTTTTTAGTTTGAGTCTGTTGGAGATAAGAAGTTGTTGCTTGTTTGGCCTAGATCTTGGTTCTTTGGCGCTGTGCCACCATACTTTCTGTGACCCTTAGTCAGCCTCAGTCATGGAATACCAGGACCAACACACCAGCCAGTGCAGTCCTCCATGTTTGCTGCTCCCCTCCACTGCTGCATCTCTTGGCAGAGGACTCCGGGGTCACTGTCACTCTGGGACCACAGGTTCAAACAGTTTGTCCCATGCAGTGACTCCCATCTCAGGCAAAAGGCATTGTTGGCTGCTTCCTCTTTCCTTGGAGTTTGTCTCTTCACTCTCTGCCGGCTTCAGTTTGCACTTCAGATTCGTCCTGGGTCCAGGGCACTTTTTCCTTCTCTTTCTCATGATGCTGTATTCCAGAGTCTGGACAGTGACCCTCCAGGAAGCTGTGTTCCCTGCTGCTTGCTGCTCTGTCACCTTTGAAAACTCTCCTTAGCTAACTATAGGTTAGTTTTTTTGTTTTGTTTTATTTTTGTTTGTTTGTTTTGTTTATTTGGACAGAAACATAATACCTGAAACTCACAACCTAATGGAAGAGAGGTTTAGTCTAGTGCACAGTTTCTGGAGATACAGACCTTGGGGTGCTGACAAGAGAGGCAGGACACAAGGGAGCTGAGCTACTTAGATCCTGGTGGGTAGGGAGCAGAGCAAGGGAACAGTGCCAGAGAGGAAGGGGGCAGGGGTCGTGGCATGCCCCCCAGCCACACCAGTATGACTTCCATGACACACATATGAGGACATGCTTTACTAATCCCCAGGACACCTTTGTTCTGTGACATTGATGTCTCAGGATAATGGTCACAGTAGGCATCTTGTTCTTTTTTTAAAGTAACACTCTAAAGATAGTCACATGCTACTAATTTCATTACACATTATTTGCTTCCTAACGGATATAAAACAGCCCTTATTTGTGTTGTTTTCTATTTCAGGCCCTGGAGATGTACAAGGATGATTGGAACAAAGTGTCTGAACATGTAGGAAGTCGCACTCAAGATGAGTGCATCCTTCACTTTTTGAGGCTCCCCATCGAGGACCCATACCTCGAGAATTCGGATGCCTCCCTTGGGCCGCTGGCCTACCAACCTGTCCCTTTCAGTCAGTCGGGAAACCCAGTCATGAGCACTGTGGCTTTCTTAGCATCTGTGGTGGACCCTCGTGTAGCATCTGCTGCAGCGAAAGCAGCTCTGGGTATGGATTCCCCAGAGCCATCTGTCCAGTGCAGAAGCTTAATTGTTCTCGTAGTTAAATATTATCAGCTGTTGCATTTCTCTTATGTAAATAACCAAAGGTACCAGCCATTACTCCTTAAAAATACATATGCTTTATCAAAAGTATAATAGTTTAGAGTACTTCAATTTAGTAGTTTGTAAATGAAGGAGATATTTTATTAATAATTGAAGGAGGGGCCAGGGGTTTAGCTCAGCAACATAAACACCTGCCTGGCAAGCGTGAGATCATGCGTTTGATCCCTGATACCAAAAAAAAAAAAAAAAAAAAAAAAAAAAAAGAATAGAAGGAACAGTCAGGCTGGGGCATGAGGGTCACAGTGAGTTTGAGGCCAGAAAAAGGAAAAAACAAAAATTGAAGAAGCAGCAGCAGGCATGGCGGTGCATGGCTGTAATCACAAGACTGAGAAACTGAGTCAAGAGAACCACAAGTTCTAAGGCAACCTGACCAACTTAGCAAGACTCTGTCTTAAAATAAAAAAGACTTGGGAACTTAGGGAATTTATCTCTGCGTAAATAGCATAAAAGTCCCCAGTACAGGAGGGAAAATAAAAAAGGGGTAACAAAATTGTATTTTGTGATGTACTTGTGATTAATTAGGAATTTCATAGAATTGAGAAAGGAAATTACTGTATGTTGTTGGGTTATGTTAAGTTTGACTAGAAGTTTTTCATTGTAGTGTTTTATATTTTATTTAGGAACTCCCTGTGTAGCTCAGGCTGACCTTGAACTTGCAGGTTTCTTTTGCTTGGCTCCCAAATGCCAAGATTATAGGCATGCATTACCATGCCCCACTCACCTCGAATTTTTTTCTGGTTTTATGGCCGTTTAATGCTTGTGGTTTTTAAATTGTCAATCAACCTAACCATTGAAAAATACTGATTGATTGTCAGAAATTTCAGATTTCTTTTTTATAAAGTACAGGTAGAATAAAAACCTAAAGTCAGCATTTTTCGGTGCTTTTCTGACTTTGCTCTAATGTTTTGTGTTATGGCGATTCATCCCCTCCAACCCACTCCCTGGAACCTTACGTTAGATACCCTAGGCCCTCTGCTGAGCACACATTCACCCAAAACCAAGGCACTGTTCACTTCTGTTCTTGCAGAAGAGTTTTCTCGAGTACGGGAGGAGGTTCCACTGGAGTTGGTTGAAGCACATGTGAAGAAAGTTCAAGAAGCTGCACGAGCCTCCGGAAAGGTGGATCCCACTTATGGCCTGGAAAGCAGCTGCATTGCAGGCACTGGGCCCGATGAGCCGGAGAAGCTGGGTGAGTCCCTGCCGCCCTGCCAGAGCTCCCTGGGCCCCAGTGTCTTAAATAGCTTGGATTGTAGACTCAAACCACTATTATGCCCAGTTCTGTATGTGTTTTGCTGTGAGGTGTGTATTTAATTTTGAATGGGTGTTGAGTCTGGGCAAACAAAATGAGTTTTCTGCATCTCTTGATAGTATCAGGTGATTTTTCTTTGTTAATGTGTTGAGGGGCATTGGATTACATTAACTGATTTTTGAATGTTGAACCACCCTTTCATACTCTGGACAAAACCTACATTTTGTGCTTTTGTGGTTTTCAAGACAGGGTCTTACTATGTAATTCAGGCTGGCCTCGAACTACAGCGATTCTCTGAGCTACTTGAGTGCTCGGATTACAGGCGTGCACCACCATTCCTGGCAGAAAACTTATTTCACTGAGGCGTGTCATCCTTATTATACATTGGATCACCGTGCTGATGTTTTGTGTATGATTTTTGCATCTGTCTTTATGTGATATTGTGGTCCTTTTTTTCATAATGCTTTTGTCTGGTTTTTTGATATTAGAATAATACTGGCTTCTGTTTGTATCTCCTGGGTAAAATTGTATAGAAAGAATTGTCTTGCCCAGTGTCATGGTGCACGCCTGTAATCTCAGCACTCAGGAGGCTGAGTGGTGCATTATCAGCATTTCTCCGTTATCCTTTTTAAAAATTCTCTATTGTTACAAGTAGCATGTTTCATGAATAATCTAAAGACTATTATTCTTGTCTTGATTCAGACAATGATTCACATCTATATTCCAGCTGTTTGGGAGGTTGAGGCAAGAAGATTACAAATTCAAGGTCACGCTGGTCAAATTATTGAGACCCTGTCTCAAAAAAAAAAAAAAAAAAAAAAAACATGATTAATGCCTGTCACTTGTCTAATTATTTCCATCTTTCTCCTACTCGTATGTAATTACAGTCTATTTGAGATACAGCAGTTCTTTTGTCTTTAATTCTTATGTATGAAGATAAAATCGAGTAAAAAAGCGACAGTGAGTGCAATGCAGATTGTATTAGCTGCATTTCGGATGCCTTATTCTTGTTGTGAGTAGATTAGATTATCACTTACATGTCTTGCAGCCTAAAGTTCATGTTTCCTGTGAGTTTGCATAGGACCCCCCTTTACTGTTCTCTACATTATTAGTCTAGCAGGCTCATTTTTTAGGTGCAGGAACAGATTTTCGAGTTAGTCAAACCTTGGTTTAGCCCTCACTGAAATTATTACACTAACTGTTTCTAACATTGACTACATCCAGAATATGGAAGGCTTTAATTTGAAAAAACAAGTAGAGTCACTCATTTATTAATTTGAAAAGTTACTTTTTTTCTTTTTGTTTAGATTCAGACTGAAATTAGCGGGCCATGCCACATCTGTTACTGTTTATCAGTTCTGTGTCACGTGACAGTGCCTGGCTTAGGTGGAGAACCTGGGGCTAATGAGTGAAGGTGTGATTTTTCCTTTCCTTGGCTTTTCCTGTGTGTCTTGGGTTTAATTGTAGGTTCTTTTGGTTCCCTGCAGTCATAGAACTAAAAAAGCTTGGCAAAACCTTCCTATTCATTCAGTGAGCTTTTTGTACTTTGCCTTTTACTTGTACAACTTTAAAAAAAAAATGGTTTTGAAAGATGCTACCATAGCACATTAGTGGCTAAGAAACAGGTTGCAGATTTAGGTGTTTCTAGTTAGTGGAATTTGAAGAAGGCACAAGTATCTCACAGATTTGGTCCTTGCGTGTCTGTATTCCCCTAGTTCATGTGTGAGTTTCTGGTTAGCTCAGTGTACAAAGCCGAGAGCAGGCTGCTGCAAGAAGTGTTTGAAATTTCAGGGGCTGCTGTTGCAGTGCCTGAACAGTAACGTTCGTTCATGATTTCTGGAAATCGCCTGTCAGTTAACCACTCCCAAATGTGTGCTATGTGCCCAGGAGTAGTCACTACACAAAATTTGGATGCTTTCCTAATAAGAGCTATAGAAGATGCCACCCTAACAGAAATATTTCTGAACAGTTTTTGACCAGGTTCCTGTTATTAAAGCTAGTCTTTTACATTTAATGTGATTTATATTGAGCTGGACTCATGGAATAAATGAAGGAACAACAAACATTACTTGTTTTGGCTCAGCAAAATTGTGATTTTACTTAGCAAGTCAGTGGTGTATGTTGATGGTGGTGTTTTGGTATTTATTGCAACAGTATTATTAAACATGTTACTCTATACATGTGAAGTATAGTTATATGGAGAAATATGCTTCTTCATGAAATTTTAGCCTTTTGAGATATATACTACATAATTGTAATCTGCAGACACCCCACTGTCTAATAGCACACCAAAATTTCTTATCCCCAGTTAACTGTAATTTAAAGCTATCAACCTGTCTCTCTCTTCCCCCTACTTGCCCCTGCCTCTAGTAACCACTGTTCTCCTCACTACTTCTATGAGATTAACCTTTTCATATTCAAAATATGGCTGTGATCATTCAGGGGTAATTTTTCTGTGCTTTTCTTGCTTTACTTAACATTATAATCTCCAGTTTCATCGATGTCACAAATGAAAGGATTTTCTTCTTTTTTACAGCCCCATTATACCCATGTATCACATTTTGTTTCTTCAGTGTCAGCAGGTAGATGTTCAGGTGCTTCTGTTTCCTGGCTGGGCCCTGTAAGGTCACGGTCCTCTTCTATGACCACTGAGCCCAGGCTTCCCCACACAGCCTTGTGGGGCACACACAGGCCTCCTCCAGACCAGTGCCTCTGGAAAAAGGGGCTTCTTCAGTCTTTCTGTACTTACTGTGGTTCTCCATAGCATCTGAGCCCCATTTATATGGGTTTGTTTTATATTTATATGGGTTTGTTTGTTGAAAGAGACTGTGTAAATACTCAAAAAATATTAGTGATATTTGAGGCCTTTTATATAAATAAATATTTTCTTTGCCCTTAGATACAGGAAAATGTGGGATAAATTAAGCAAGACAAATGAAAGAAGTTTTTAAATGCTGAAAACTAATCCTCTGTTCTGGATACCCACATTTGGTCTACATCATATGCTGTACATGTTTTTCTGATTGTTCACTTAACTTTCTTTTCAGAAGAAACATTTGGCAGTGTTAGTTAGCTGGACATGGTAGTTCACGCCTGTGATCCCAGCACTCAGAGAGGCTGAGGCAGGAGGACAAGTTGAAGCCCAGTCTTGATGACTTAGCAAGATCTGTCATCAAAACATCTAAGGGGCTGGAGATGTGGCATACTGTGAAGGACCTGGGTTCAACACAGTACCACCAAAACTAATAAAGTCAAGAAACTCCAAAGTAGGGGCTAGGGATTTAGCTCAGCGGCATAAGCACCTGCCTTGGCAAGCGCGTGGTTGTGAGTTCGATCCCTGGTACTGATTTAAAAAAAAAAAAAAAAAAAAAAAAAACTCAAAAGTACTGGAAGATGACATCAGTCTGTAAGAAGTATCATGCTGAATTTTGAACCTGAATCTCTTTGAGTCCAAAATTCAGCCTTTTTTTCCCTGCAGCACGCTATGAGAAGTACACGTGGAGGCGTGTCTATCATTTGAATTCATTGAACAGCAAGCATTAATGCACTGTGTACTGGAGGAAGACAGGACATAGGAGAGGCCCCAGGTCCTCTGACCCGATAGAGATCAGGGTCAGGTGTTAGCTTGTTGGGAGAGTGAGTCTGAAATCACCTGTCAGCCTGAAGGGCTGAAAGATGGGCAGATGCACCCAGCAAGATGTGTGGCTCTGCTTCCTTCTTTTATGTCCCATTGAATGCTGCCAAACCCACACCACACCTGAGTCTGTGAGGACGAAAGCCTGTGTCAGGAGTGTGTTCCAGGATGGAATATTGGTTTTCAACTAGACCTTCACAATTTAACTCGTAAGAATAAGTGTATCAGTAATCATATGAACTGTTCTAGGTGGGAGGGAGGATCTTGGTGAACAAAATCACTGCCCTTTCAAACTTTATATTTAAGCACATAGATGGGTAGTTCTAAACCAATAAATAAAATGTTGAATGTATAAATTTAATTATTTTTTTCTGGGAATTAAACTCACGAACTCATGCTTGCCAGGCAGGCACTGTGCCACTGAGCTAAATCCCCAGCAAAATTAAATTTACAAGTGTGACGGTGCACACCTGTAATCCCAGCACTTGTGAGGCTGAGGCTCCTTAATGACTTCAAGACCAGCCTGAATTGTTTAGTGAAACCCTGTCTCCAAAACCACACAAACAAAAATAAGTAAATTTAGATATACAGGAAGAGAGTGTATTAGCTAAGAGCTGTAGGCAATAGTGAAGCAGAGATGGGGAGAATATGGGTGAAGGGTGGGATGTTGCATTTTCAGATGATTAGATCCGACTGTCTGAGAAAGTGACACTTGAAAGAAGTCATGAGACGACTTAGGGAGCCATGAGGCTTGCAGGCCAGTATTCTGGTACGCGGGGAGGCAGTGTTGTTGTTGTCAGCAGGAGTGGCCTTCCATAGTAGTTGAGGACAGGAAGGAAGGTTCTGCATAAGCTCCTGGATTGATGAGAAGGGGAAGTTACTCCAGAGGACAGTCAGACCTGCGTGATCAAGTAGAGTTTTGGTTTTAGCTTTGTTTTTATTTTTTGAGACAAGGTCTTGCTGTGTATCCTAGAATGGCCTCAAACTCAAGGTGACCCTCTTGCCTTAGCCTCTTGTGTGCTAGAATTAAAGGCGTGTACCACCCACCTGGCCTATTTTTTTGAGACAAGGTCTTATTTAGTTCAGGCTGGCCTTCAATTTTATGTGGCCCAGACTGGCTTCACACTCATGGTGATCTTCCAGCCTCAGCTCCTGAGCACTGGGATTGCAGGCATACATTGTGAGGCCAGGATGTGTCACTATGGATTTGAATGTTTACCGTAAGTGAGCTGCAGCCAGTGAAGGATTTTGAGTAAAGAAGTACCAGGGTCTGCTCTGTATTTCTAAGTGTCATTCTAACTACTGT